CGAAGAGTTGTCACAGAAGGTTGTCCTTGAATTTGAACAAAACTTCTACGTGTGGGGTGTTCTGGATAGTTGATTTATGAGAGTTGGAAAGATGATATAATAGATTTTGATTTTGTGTTTGTAGGTGAAAGTAGAGTTGATTTTTGAGTAAGAAAAAATTATAAAGGTTTCTGTTTTGTTTCCCAACTCCCTTTTCTCTCCTCCCAGTGTCTCCCCCCCTTTGATGTTGTGAATAAAGGTTTATTTATAGAGGATCTTTGATGTGGTTTTGGGGGGGAAATCAAATAACATTTGAACTGTTTGGGTATACCGTCCCCCTGTTTTCTTCGATGCAGCTCTTATGTACCTTTTTTTTGTGTAAGTATTTGGAGTGTTGTGGCAGGTTGGTGCAGGACTGTTGCATAGCAGCACAACTGGCTTGGGTTTGGAAGTATATAGGACTTTGGTCAACAAACACCTTGAATACTCCACCCTTTCGTTTTAATCAATTTGACCAGACTCATCATCATACAACAACGTTTGTTTCCAACAATGTGTGCTCTTCGAATGGACTCATTATAGGTCCTTCGATTCCACCAACTATGATCCATAGTGTTGAAGAGTTTTAGAGGTGTAATCTAAGTACGTTTCTTCGAAGGGTTTAATTTCCTAACTTGTAAATTGAAGGAAGCTTCCTAACTTGTAAATTGAAAGAGGCTGCCCAACTTGTAAATCGAAGGAAGCTGCCCAGCTTGTAAATCGGAGGAGGCTGCCCAACTTGTAAATTGAAGGAGGTTGCCCAGCTTGTAAATCGAAAGAGGCTGCCCAACTCATGGATCGAAGGGGGTTACTACGAAGGAAAACATATGGCCAATTTGAAATTTGTTAAATTGAAGTCAACTTGTTTCTTTTTTGACCTAATCGAAAGGCACATTAACATCCTCAAAATTTTACATTTTCTTTATTTCTTTGAACATGTTTTTGTAATCACACATGCGAGAGAAATCTTGAAAAAATGAGAGGGAAATTTTTGGGGTACAACAAGGGGAAACTAAGAACTAAAACTAAAATAAAATAAAGATTAAGATAAATATAAGAAAAGAGAGGCCAAAATGTGTATCTGCGTACCTCAGAGACTATGTAACTCATTAACAATAATTTACGGTTAAATTATATTCAATAGAAAATACTGGTTTAAAGACTCTATCTCACACTCTTGCACTATTGAATAAAGCCACACTCTCTAACCACAGGATTTTTCTCTCGCTCGCCCGTTTTAATCAGAAAGCATATTTTGAAAATCGATGAGATCCTAAATGATGCTTAAAGCGCTTTCGCTGTTTTTAGGATTGATTCCCCATTCCCATTATCAAGTTCCTGCCTCATACTCTTGCGCTATCGGCTTGAACCTTAGTTTGTTCTTCAATATCGTGTCAAAACAATATTAAATAACCTCTCACTCCCGTGACAAAGCTATTTAAATTAAACTTGGAAATAAAAGCCAAAACAAAATTTACGCAAAACTTACGCCAATTTCATTACCGAGTCCCATCGGCAACGACGATTCTCATATACCAGACTCAAGACAATTTAGCCAGATATGGAATTGATTTCAAACAAAATAAACATGATAAACATAATTAAATACAACATGCTTGACAGGTATATAATGAAACAACAGTAATAATAAAACGATAAATAAATAACCTGTAAATGCAAGAAATAAAGAATTTGGAATTAACTTTGATTAAGGCGACAAGATTGTTCCAAGGAAGTTACAAAGATTACAGACCTAAACACTAATGGTAGAGTAGTTCCTCGATGTGAGAAACTACTCCTTTTACAATTGTGATTTATGCCTAAAACTATGAAAAGCGCTTCTGCGCGATAACTTCGACGTGTGAAACTGACTCAGAGGCTCTATATATAGAGAAAATATCCCAACAACTGCTCTCGATCAGTTTTGGAACTGAAGGAAAATTCAAAATGCAAATAATTGCTGAAAACTGCAAAAACTGTTGTCTGCAAAGTAAGGCGAACATCGTTGGGCAATGGCAAACACCGTTGGGAAATGACGAACGCCATTTCCTTGTTCATTAATTGACGTGCCGTGACTGAGCAACAATGAAAGCCATAAGCATACAGCAAACGCCATATCAGGAAAATAGGCAGATTCTTTTCTTTTTGCTACTCTTTTGCTTCTTTTCCGGTATTCACGCAAAGTCACACTGATATTAATCGAAACCTGTAAAACAATATAAAAACAACATTAAGGCGATAAAAATAAACTAAAATTACTACGAATAATATGTGTTGTGAGCCTAAAAACACGATACCATTTCACGTTATTAGTTATCACAAATGATGGTGATTCCCATTTATTTAGCCGAACATGTTACAAACAAAACAAAAACAATAAACGGATTATAAATCTAACATTCTAAACATATCATTTATATTAATATAATAAAAGGGCACATGTAAATAATATAAGTAAAGTAGAAAAATCAGTAGATATAAAAACTTGAAATAACAGTGACTACATATAGATAACGCCATAGACACATGATCTCGGGAAGATGATGCTTCTACCTCAAATAAAGTGACACCAACGACTGGAAAAAAGGGTTTAGCTTTTCCCTCCGAACAGAAGCATGCTAAGCCAGTCTACCATGCCTTAATCCTTTTTGTTTGTCGGATATTGTACTTATAATTACACCAGAAAAATCAGATCATAATCAAAAAACTTAAACCTAGAGGATAAAATAGGAAAAATTGAATAACCAATGCATAATAAGTAAATTTATACTCCCTCCATTTTCTTTTATAAGTAAATTTTAGCTTTTTAGATTCATTGTATAATTAATTTATATAACTTATATATAGTATAAATACATCATTTATTCAATAATAAAAAGTCAAAATTCGCTTATAAAAGAGAATGGAGGGAGTATTTTGTTATTTTGACACAAGGTCCAAATTCGAATATCTAAACTAAACCATAGAAGTAGAAACAAAAAGGAAAAACAAAGCATGCCCTAAGCTCTAGTCTTGAGAAAAAAATATAAGTGCATGCATAACAAATCAATTCATTATGCTTTTTTTTTGGCTTTCGCCTAGTAATCTATAGCTCGTGCCAAGAGGTATGGACACTGGTCAAACGTTGTTTCCACCTAGGAATCGAAACCGGTATTATTCGGATTACGTCCTTAACAGAAGCTCCTTTATCACTGGAGTCCAAGCTACTTGGTTAATTCATTATACTTTTAACTACAACCTAATACACCATAAACAAATTATTTAGGTAATGCACTAATCACAAATCAAAACAAAGTAGGGAAATTAAAAACTTACGAAATTGTGAGAAAGCTTGTAAAAAGAAAATTCTAGATTGAATGAAGTGAAATAAAAGTTGAGTGATGTCCTAGGATTGAATGCTATGCAATTAAAGTGGTGAGAAAACTTGAAAAATAACGAAAATGTAGTTTGCTCACGAACTTTGTTTTGAGTTCTGAGTAAGTTTCTAAATGAAGAAGGAAATGGAAAAGATTTGACACAAATATATAAATTAAACACGTCCAGAGATTGATCTTCATAGAAATTAAATTCCAGAGATTGAAATCTGAATCATTTCAGTGTTATTTTGACTCATATCTGAAATATGGATGTGGTGTGGTGAAGGGGGGGGGGGGGGGGGGGGGGGGGTGGTTGGTTCAATATCTGGATTTATTTTTAGTCTTTACATCTTTCATTTAACATGTTTTATATTTTTATTTTGAGTGCGTCCGATAAATAAAATCTAAAACTTAGGAGTATTATTGAATTTTTACCGTAGTAACGAGCAATACATAGGACGGGAATAACTATTCTCTTAGGGAATTTCTTTCTCCACCCTTACACCTTCTTAGCCACCTCTGACGAAATTCTGTTTTTACCTTCAGAATTCGGAGATGTATCTCCAAACGCATCGAATTTCGTATTTTTTGGGTGAACTCGAAGATGTATTTCCGAAGTTATGCAATTTTATTTTTTTGGGTGAATTTGAAAATGTATTTCTGAAATTTCGAAATTTCATTTTTTGTTTGTGAATTTGGAGATGTATTTCCAAAATAGACACTAATACATATTAAAAAAACATGGCTAAAATTCTCAATTGTGTTTATGTTTATGTAATAATTTTATTTCTTTGTCTCTTGCTTATTGCAGAAGAGGTTCATGGTTAATTATTTCTTCACCTTTTCAAATTATCTTGTTAAATTTATATTATTGACGCATTATTTGATCTTATATTTTTCTCTTTTTTATTACAGCAAATGTTAAATGTAAAATCCATCGTGATTGTCCGAAAGTTTTTTAGATAGTAGGACAACAATTACTGAATATAATTAGGATCAAAACTAATTTTAATTCTCAGATTATGTAACAATTAGTTGCTAACTATACATATATGTTGAATTGAAAATCATTCTTATTATAAATAAAATGTTATCGAGTAAGACAACCATTTAACTAAAACTCAATCACTAGATCTATCAAGCCAAAATAAAACTCACAAACAAATAAATTAAATATCTTTTAAAAAATATATAAAATATTTTACACTTTATAAAGAATTAAATGTAAGCAAGAAGAGAAAAACAAAAAAAAATGGTGTTTTTGGATTTCAGAAATATATTTCCGAATTCATTTCGGAAATATATTTTCGAATTTTTCCTAAAATTCGATATTTTAGATGTTTTTGAAGATGCATCTCCAAAACATATTGATTTGAAGTGCGTTCGGAAATACATCTCCGAAGGATATTTCGAGTTTTCAGGGGTTTTTCCCACCCCACTTATCCTTTTCTTGCTTCTAGAATCAGAATGGGCTTGGGCTAGATAGAAGAGGGCCACAGGCCCAAATATGATACGGGCTTTCATGTGAATCAAGTTCAAGAAATAAGAGAGCGATTAGAATTAGGGTTTATCAGCAGCGCCACTTTTCTTTCTTCTACGGCTTGGGACTGATTGTCGCCTGGAACTATGGTAATTCCTCATTCCCCTTCTTCCAATTTCTCAATTTGATATTCAATTTAATCATTGTGTTTGGTTGTTGTTCTGAAAAACAAATTATCGAAACTGATTCAATCGTTTTTATTAACTTCCATTGTAAGAATGTTGTTCTTGTTAGAAATACTATTCTGAATGTTTTGATGCTAGGATGCTGGGGGAAGTTGTTTTACAAATAAGCTAGTGAAAGTGTAAAATTTTATTAAGTGATTCTTTCAGAGGTTCATAGTTTTTATCTTGACAAAGAGGTAATTGGGGTTATTATAACTTTGTTTAGGATTTTGGACTGTAAAAAAATCAGTGTTTTCAATCACAACATAGATTGTAATTGTTTTGAGTAACCACTATTTTCTCTTGTTAAATGTCTGTTTGGATTGACTTATACAGCTTATAACTGACTTCTTTTCAGCTTAATAGAGTAATGCTATATGGCAGTTGTTCTTACAATTTGTATGGTGTTCTACACAGCCTAAGCAAATCAACGAGATTAAGGATTTCCTTCTCACTGCCAGAAGGAAGGATGCTAGGTCAGTGAGAATCAAGAGGAGCAAGGATGTCGTTAAGTTCAAGGTCAGATGTTCCAAGTACCTTTACACACTTTGTGTGTTTGATGTTGAGAAAGCCGACAAGTTGAAGCAATCACTTCCTCCAGGTCTCATTCTATTTTTTACATTTAATAGTTCAAGTTTATGTATATCACCGCAAATTGCAGAAACAAATTTTTCTTGCATAAAATTGTTTTCAAGGTACATTGGTTAAACGGTAGAGGTTGTTATATGTTTCTATGTGTCTTTCCTTTGGGTAGATTCAAAAGGATTAATTATTTTAATTTGTGCTATGTATAGTCTTGTCGATTTTATGTGTAGCAACTTATAATGCTCTTGATGTTTTCAGGTTTGAGTGTTCAAGACCTTTAAAGGCATTGGATGAGAGAAACCAAGGAGTCATTTCTTTCATTCTTGTGATGTCTATTTCTTCTGTAGTTGAATCTTGAGATTTTGAGTAGGATATGGTTTTTGTAATGAGAAATTAAAGATTTTAACGCCTGATGAAATAGTTCAGTGCTGTGAGACTCTATGTGATCTTCTGTTTTGGGACATGGTTTGATTTTTTTTAATGAAATAATGATATGTTTTGGAATTTGAATGATGGAAAAGTGGTAAATTGAATAATAGCTACGAATAATTGACCAGTTTTATAAATCCATTTTTATAGGTATCATGTAATTTAAAAGTATATATTTCTAATTGTAAGATCATTGATTTATATTGCTTTGATCCGAATTCGAAATGGTGGTTAGTAAACTATGTTTTCCAATGTTATTTCAATAAATAATTACTTTAACACTTATTGGTGTGTGTACACTTCGGTGAAAAATTTGTAATATCTTTAAAATTTAGAAATACATTTTTGGACGCATTTAAAATATACAATTCACATTATTTTTTAAGTGAATCATTTTCAATTTGTCAAAAGTTAGTTTAGAAGTTCACTTTTAGCCTTTTTTTTTTGGCAAAATGAGGTGGATGACTTACATACATAGTGCTTTGGTGTAGGGGGTGGCAAAAGGGCATATCTGTCCTGTTTAAGTCTGTCCTACAAAAGTCTGCAAAAATAAGGTGGGGTTGGGCGGATTTTGTTGAGAGTACGAGTTTAGAACCTTAACTATCTCTGTAAAAAGTTAGTGCGGGATGAGTCCGCAGATATTGCACATTTTAGATTTAATTATAAATTTTCATGTCGTATTTGCAAAAGTACGCAAAAAAAGGACGGCAAGACAAACATATTAGAAGGGGCAGACTTAAAATCTTGCCCTGTCCCACAAAAAATATACAAGTTAAATGGGCATGTCTGGTGGATCAGGTCCATTTCACCACTTCTTCTATAGTATATTTTAGATACGCAAAGAAGTTTACTTCTGGACTAAATTTAAGAGTATATTTTTTGAACTTCGAGGATGTTTGGATGTGGGGATGCTTACAATTGATTGAGAATTGTGAGGCATGGTGGTGTATTTTCGATGCGTATTAAAATATACTTTTGGGTTTTGGAAGAACAACTTTGAATTTTAAAAATGCGACTCTTCACCATTAATGGTGGGAAGAGCAACCCCCTTTAATAATATGCTTTGTGTTATGGCTGCTCAAAAGGCTCAATAAACACAATCCAAAGTGAAATGACTTGCCGGATCGCGTGCAAGATAGGTACATTGTCTTAGGAAACAAGCAATCCATACCCAAGATCAATCAAATACTTCATGCATCTCACGTTGTTAGTTTAACAAGCGGTTATAACTGCCCTACTATATAATATATAAAATGGAGAAATCGCTATTTCTAGATAATTCGAATTCAAAGCTCATTGACTTCATCTTACTTATACTAATTTGGAGATTGAAATACTAATCTTACAGGTCAAGTCTTTTTCCATCGTGCCTAAAACTCGAGTTCACCACTACAATTTATCGCTATTCACATCTGATTATATTTTAAAAAACTTTGTATTCTCAATTTTCATAAGGTATGTATGAAAGTTTGCTTCTTTTTTTATCTTGTTTTGATGATTAACAAACTTAACATTTGTTTCTATTCTCCTTTGTTCCGTGCCTCCACAAGGAAAATCTGCCACCCCATTCACTCATCCACTAATCACAACTTAATATTTATCAATTCTTTCATTAACTTCTCTTTATAAATATGTTTTTCACAAAGTAGTCAACAATATTTGCACTGAAGAAAAAACTTAACCAAAGCTGATGATTCAAAACTTGAAATCTTTCATAGAAATGTCAATTTTGCACAACTTGTCTTTCTATACTCCCTTTCCCATTTTCTAACATCTGATGTTGAGAAACATAACTAACATCAACAACATTGTCACCACTAACATACACTACTTTAAAAATATCATACTTCATATCGATCGAGAATCTTTCAAGATAAGGCATCATCCATTTTCTATGATCCGAGTTAAGAATCCACGAGTAACAATAATGAAGAGACTTCCACACATGAATGCAAACAACAATTGGTCTAGTTTATCCCTTCAAACATAGACCTGAAGTTACACCTTCCATTTTTGCAAAGAGTGATCGGAAAATAGCTAACACGGCGTAGGAAAGATTATCAAGGTCCTTTCGATTAACCGTGTCAGTTGTGTTTATAAATATTATGTATCCAGTTGTTAGTTTTGCAGTTGATGAATCATCTCTTGATTCTCCAACATATGCTTCAAGGGAATTATGGTCAATTAATTTAGCCATGGTTGATACTTTGGTTAGCCTTGATTTAGACACATTACCTCTATGGCTCCAGATTCGAGGTGTTTAGTGATCACAAGAGTTTAAAGTATCTATTTGACCAGAAGGAATTAAATATGAGGTAACGAAGGTGGTTAAAGCTGTTAAAAGATTATGACTTTTGGTTGAATTACCATCCAAGTAAAGTTAATGTTATAGTAGAGGCCTTGAGTCGAAAATCTTTGCATATGTCTGCTATGATGGTTAGAGAGCTAGAATTGATTAAGCAATTCAGATATATGAGCTTAGTATGTGAGTTCACGCTACAGAGTGTGATGTTGGGAATATTGAAGATCAACAATGATTTTCTAGATAGCATTAAAGAAGCTCAGAAGTTGGATGTAAGGCTAGTGGACGTGATGGTTGGAAATAATAAGTCCGAAGACAGTGATTCTAAATTGGATGTGTAAGGTGTGTTGAGATTCCGTGATAGAATTTGTATTATGGATGACTCTGAGTTGAAAAAGATGATTCTGGAAGAAAGTCATAGAAGTAGTTTAAGTATCCATCTGAGAGCTACTAAAATGTACCAAGACTTGAAGAAGTTATTTTGGTGGTCTGGATTGAAATGCGACGTAGTGAAGTTTATGTATGCGTGTTTGACTTGTCAGAAGTCGAAATTCGAACATAAAATCCTGCAGGATTGATGAAACCGTTAGATGTTCCAGAGTGGAAATTGGATATAATATCAATGGATTTTGTGACATAATTGTCGAGTACTCCAAGAGAGCATGATAAGATTTTGGTGATTGTTGATAGGCTGACGAAATTGACTCATTTCATTTCGATTAATATCAGTTTTCATGTAACGAAGTTGGCGGAGATTTATATCTGTGTAATTGTAAAGCTTTATGGTGTTCCGTCGAGTATTTTTTCTGATAGAGATCCAAGATTTACTTCGGGATTTTGGAAGAGTTTGTAGGATGTGTTGGACTCTAAGCTGAGATTGAGTTATGTGTATCATCCACATATGGATGGTAATACAGAGAGGACTATTCAGTCGTTGGAGGATTTGTTGAGAGCTTGTGTTCTTGAACAAGGAGGTATCTATTGAGAGTGTAATGCTTGGATCTGAGATTGTTCGACAGACTACGGAAAAGGTGAAGTTAATTCAGGATAAGATGAAAACTTCGCAGAGTAGACAAAATAGTTACCATGATAAGAGGAGTAAGGATCTTGAGTTTCAAGAAGGAGACCATGTATTCTTGAGGGTTACTCATGTGACCAGTGTTGGGCATGCTTTGAAATAGAGAAAGCTTTCTCCTCAGTTTATTGGTCCGTATCAAATTTCTGACAAAGTAGGGACTGTTGCATATATAGTGGCTTTGCCACCTAACTTGTTGAATTTGCATGATGTGTTCCATGTGTCACAACTTCAAAAGTATATTTCAGATCCATCTCATATGATTCTAAGGACGATGTGCAAGTGCGGGATAATCTAACTGTTGAGACCGTACCTGTGAGGATCGAAATCTGTGAGATGAAGAAGTTGAGGGGCAAGGAAATTTCTCTTATGAAAGTAGTTTGGAACGAAGCTTCTGGAGAGAATATGGCGTGGGAATTAGAGAGTAAGATGTAGGAGTCTTACCCAGAGTTATTTGTATCAGGTAATTTTTTAGGACAAAAATATTCTAAGTGGGAGAGAGTTGTAACACCCTAAATATTATATTTAGTATTTAATTGTGTTGTTGCGATTTATGTGGTTTAATTGAGGGTTTGACGGCATGTTGTGGGGTAGCGTTTGGTTGAATAAGATGATTAAAATTATTGATAATTATAATTGTCTGGATTAATTTTAATAATTAAATAAAGATGATATGAGGTGTAGAGATGATAAGGGCATTATGTTAATGTTGTGTGGAGTAAGTAGAGATAAGATGAAAATACCATATTAGGGGTCCAGGGGGTAAAGAGGACTTAAGAGAAAAGTTTGAGAGTGAATCATATCTTAGGAACGATCAAACTCTGAGAGAAGCTGACGCGTAGAAGTGAGAAGAGTTGGGGCAAGGGAAGTCATTGTTGCAGTTTAGGAACAATCAATCCAAGGTAAGGGTGGAGTTCCAACTATCTAAGGGATTGTGTAATGATAACTATGTGGGGGATAATTTATGTATCACCATTGATAGTTGTAATTCCCGTTAATTTAATTAATTATTTAATTAATTATTTTCGAATTATTCGTTGAAGTTGTGTGATGTTGTGAATTGTTGGCATAAGTTGCTAGATTATTACTAGTTAATTAATTAGTTTCTTAATAATAGTAATAATATCAGAACTAGTGGAATAATAGAATAATTATGTTGGGCCTAATTTTAATGGTTGAAAGTAGAAATATAGGGGTGCATTGTTAAGCCCATTAAGAATAACGTTGTGAGGTTCTATTTAAATAAAGGATAGGGTTAATTGAGAAGTTGTTGGAAAATTGGTCGTGAGAAGTGCAGAGAAGGGGAATAAGGAGAAGAGCAAAGCAAGGTTTCGGTTGGAGAGTTATCGAGCGACCTTCAATCCAAGGTAAGGGTGGGGTTATGACCTTATAATGGGGCTTATGATGAATATTGTGTATGGGTTGGTCATGAGTATAATTGTGGTGCATTGATTTTCTGGGCCTGTTCTTGAAAG